AAAAACACTTTATCGCGTTCCATTTTTCACAAAGCAAAAGAAATTGTTGTTTAGGAAAATAATTGTGTATGCTGACTGAATGTTATCGAGAAATGTCGAAATTAATCACAAACTACCTGTTTCGTTAGTAATGACTACTAGAACTGTTTGCATTGCCATCTAACATTTGCGGGCGGAAACTAAGTTAAGGTCCTAATATGATACATGTGTGTCAGAAGGATAATTTATTTTTATCCTATGCCTAAACAAATTAAGTTTGTGGAATTTATGCTATTTTACATAAAAATAACCTGAGGTAATCTTGATTCCAAAATGAATAGTGTTAACAAACGTATCAAAATAATTATTATACACAGCACAATAAATAAACAAAAAATCAGACCTTATAAATATAGACATATGAATATGTAATTACAGAATTAAATGGCATAATACTTAAACATTGTAATATATTTTTCGATACAAATGCGAAATAAAATATAAATAAAATGTAAGAAAAGGGTAAAGAGGGGTTTTCTCAAACATTTCTGACTTAAATGTTGATTCTTTTTTTTACATATTTTCGTTTTATGAAACATTTAGAATTAATATTATAATAGATTTAATAGATATAATATTATTATATCTATTAAATGATATAATAATATCATGATATTTAATAGATATAATAGATTTAATATTTGAACAAATAATGATAACATAAAAGAATTTGTAAAAACGTTTCGCAGACAGCTGCATGCTTTTCAATCTAGTATAAACACGTTTACCGCACTATAATAAATAGCACCTTTCTTAAAAATGTTTCTGCAGTTATTTTTCCTCTATTCTTCTTTTTTTTAATTTATCTTTTTACTCGGAAATATTTTTGACTAGTAACGACAGGTGTAGTGAAAGTTTCAGTTCGACATTCTGGAGAATGGCTTCTAAGCATTTTCATCGCGGATCACAAGTTATCCATGTTGCGTTTTATATGGCTATAATTATTTTCAATGAAGGATTTTTCTTTCTATTAAAACTTCTGAAATTTATGAATGTAAAAATTGGCTTAAGTAAAAGGGTAAATTGGTAGGTAAAAGCCTTTTCTGAATATCATAATGAAATAAGTATGCAGATACAGAGAAGCGGCACTTATGGGTCACGCGCTAAGGAAGATTAGTTAAGATGATCTGTCTAGTAATTGAACACCATCCAATAAATGAACAGTTTGCAGTATGTATTAATAAGATATGTAATGTACTTTATGGTTCATGTGAATAATTAAAGATAATCCACAGGTTATGTGATTATGTCAAAAAAGTGTATCGCAGAAGGTTAACCTGGCTTCGTCTGTTCAAATATTGGAGTTTGGTATTTAAGTAATCTATAGGCTTTAAGTAATCATTTACTGGACAGGTCACTCTAGTAAAGGAAGACAACCTCAATTTCAATCTATAATATGAAAACTTATTATTGTATGGCTCCGGAATAATCGATTAGACACTAGTGAAAAAATCTGTTTTTTGTTCTTAACTTTAAAAGTATTTAAAAAAAAACTTTTCTTTTTTTAAAAAGAGTTTTCGATAGACGATATCTAAAAATTATAATTCAATTTAGAGAAATTACTCTTTAATATTTTTAATGATATATATATATATATATATTATTAAAATTTTAATTAATAATATATTTTTAATTGACATATGAGACCGATCTTCAATCAGTTTATTTGTTTTTCCGTTATATTGTTATATATAATAATAAAAAAGTTTTAAAAATCATTCTTTAGCTATTATTTTGTTTGTTTCAAAAATAAAACAATCATATATTGACAAGCAATAACACTATAAATAACATATTTTTTTATAGGTGCTTAGATTTTAAAATTACGACTTGCAACTGTGGTACTATATAAAAAGTCGATTTTTTACCGCTACTAATAACTGAAAATTGATATTTCATTTTCTAAAAATTTATATATTTTCTTTTTTCTATTAATAATAAACCTATAAAACTTTTACAATAATAATATTAATAGCTTTTTTTAGAAAATATTTTGAATAAATCTATGTTTTCGCCTGAAAAATGCATAAAAAATCTCTACAAACTGAATTTTTAAAATAGTGCATTAAATAAAAATTCAGGTAACACAAGTTCTTATGAAAGTTTTCGAAAGCCCTTGTTATCGATATTGTTTTCATCGTAATTGAAAGGACATATGAGTAAAAGACATATATTTTGTCTCGTTTGGTGCAAAAGGCACGCTAGGAAAAAAAGCTTGCGGATACGAGGAATCGTTATCCTCCAATAACGCGGTGTGCGACGGTATTTCTCAATTTAAAGTTTGACGAGGGCCACTAGTTCCTTTTCGTCCAACGCGAGCAAGGGATAACGAGATTCTCGATTTACTCGTCGCATTAATCAAGGAAATGATTCGATGGTGAACTCGATATAGAACAGTTAAGATAGTATTCTTCTACATTTAGGCAGGAATGCTTTGTATGAGCCGATCCGTTAACGATTTTCACACGGATAAGAAGTAAACAAGTGGCATACATTTGATAAGTCCTTTTGTCAAGCTCGTGGTTAAAATTCAACGTGTACACATTTATCGCTTATTTAGCAAAGTGGCTATCGTTAATTTGGTAAATTCTCGTACATATTTGTTAAGCTTCATTAATTTTGCAACGTCTGTTTATGTTACAAATGTTGTATATAGAGAAAGTTCTGAGAAATATTATAATTTACATCCGTAAATCGGAAAGTATTGTGTTAGTTTATTCCGGCTAGAATATATTTGTAATGTTGAAAAAATCACATGGAAACGTATGAGAAATTTTACATCATAAGATTAAAATAAATATCCAATCAATCAATTATAATCAGTAATGATAATTAGTTAATAATTATTAATTAATTAATAGTTAATTAATAAGAATATATAAATTTTGTCTTTAATTTAAATATTAGATTGAGTCCGAAGACTTTTCTCAAGAATATATTAATTAATAATAATTCTATTTGTACTTATGTGTGTCTATATTTCTATTAGTGAAACTTCAAAAAATATCCATGCTCCGATTTAACTTAAACTTTGTAAATAAGCTCTTTTTAGATAAAGAATAAGTGTCCCAAAATTTTTGTCAACTCGAATGTTAAACTAATTATTAGTTAGTAGAGACACATCTAACCAATGACTTATACTTTGATATACAGGGTGGGGCAAATGTCTAGAAACACTCAAATATCTCGTAAAAAATGCATTTTTGAAAAACAAGTTTCAGACAAAAGTTATAAGGTTTAAAAAGATGCATTCAACGGTAATATTTATTTGACCTTAGGTGGCGCCGCCAAGGTCAAGTCAAGGTCAATTTTGGTTTTTTAAATAGAAATATATATCTCTATTACACAATTTTATTCTACGTAAAGAAACAAACAACTTTTGTTTGAAAAACAAAACAAAAGTTTTGAAAAACTTTCATACAATCTCTATTTTCTAAGATATTTACGGAAATATCTACAAAATTATTAGTTTTAATAATTTTTTACTCGAATTCTATTAACTTTACCGAAAAATAGCAAGAGATAAAAATTGTTTATTTTTTTTTCCATAGAGCTCTGAGAATTTTTTCAGTATTTTTTAATTAACTTTTTAGTACAGCATTTTTGTGCATTTTCTTGAAGTACTAAAAAGTTTATTGTAACTTTATTACAAAATTTAAAAATTTAAGTACCGGTCTTTATAAAATTCTCTTTTTAAATCTTTCGTCATACAAAATTCAGTGAAGACTACAGTATATTATTGCAAGCGACTATTCACTAATTTTTAATTAATAATTAAAGATTTACAAAGTTATTAGGAAAATGATAGAAGACTTGTTTATTCAGTTTGATCTAATGGATAAGCACACGATGGCAGATATCATCATTACAGCTCAGCTACTCGCTCATCTATCACATCTCACGTGATCATTCACTGTTTTTTAATTAATATGGTGATAATTATTGCAAATGTCATAAAACAGTATAGGACTTTTATATTCACTTCAATTCATACTATTTCTCCACGAGAACTTCGAAGGTTGTTCTGGGACACCCTGTATATTCGAGTCTTGATATCTTTCCACTTCGTGATTATTTCGCTGTCGCTGTGTCTATTTCCATATCTTCCTATAGAAGATGCCACCAATAAACTGGTCAACAGTTTATGATTTAACATTTAATAATAATTTGATTAAAATATGGTAAATGTCCTAATTACTGACTAAATACTCTCATGACGAAAATGAACAAGTTAACGCCTAAGCCTAAACTACAATGTGTGGGCAAAAAAGAAAATATTTAAAGTTTTAATATCTTTAGCTCCAAAAACTGTACAGTTAATTACTTATAAGAAATTAACAACAAATTAACATTATGATTTAGCATAAATAATAGCAAAAGTAATAACTATTTTTTTAATAATTTTTTCCGTAAAATCGATTTCCGCTTTAGTTAAAAAAATTTAATAATTTGTTGAAACAATTATTGATTAAACAAATAAGCAAAATTAATTTTTTTCTATATTTGAATATGTTTTGATGCCACGTTCTGTTTTGCATAGTTACGAAGAGTCCATAGATTGTAGTTTAGGCTCAGGCATAAATGGGTTACATTGGTAACATATGTTAGATTAAGTACATCAAAGAAATTTTAATTGAAGGCTTTGCCATTTAAAGTTTTAATTGTGTTATATTGTTCTAAGTTTTAATTGTATTATATTGTTCTAATTGTCGAAAAGATTTCAATTTATATGCATCTTCTCAAACATGACTGTGTGCGCGCGCGCATGCTTGTGCGGGAGAGAGAGAAAAAGAGAAAAATATTATTGAAAATAAGATCTGTTTAATGTTATAAGTACTTCAGCGACGGATAGATAATCATATTGCTTTATTTGGTGAGTCGTAATATTTGCAACAAAGCTCTTAGCGAATTAAATTTAAGTTTATTCTAGTTTATGATGTATGTTCTTATTAGATTTGAGGCTTTATGTTCTTATTATCGACAGACAGTGGATACTGCTAAAAATTATGATGTATTATTATATCATTATAAGATTATGACTATCACTATGATTTTATGTTGATTTTATTTTTACTTTTACTATTTTTATAGAAAAAATAAAAATATTAATTCAGGCTATTATTTATAATATCTTATTATTTATGATAATTTTTAAATTACAAACTCATATTTACAGTGTTTATTACAATTTAGGGACGTAAATTATGATATTGAGGATATTTCTTAATTCCATAATAAACAAGATTTATAAATCATTTTTTTTTAAAGTTAGGAATATTTTTCTATTGTACGTCATATTTATTAGTAATGCATATGAGTATTCAGATAAATATTTTATTACATATATTAATGCGTAAAATATATATATTTCTTGTTATCTTTTTTGTTTACAAAATATTCGTTAATATTGTATATAATATAATATAATTAATAATTTGTAACAAAAAGAACACCTCTCTCGAGTCCTGATTTTACTACGCTAAATGTAGTGCACCTAGCCACTTTCAACTATGAATATTTCGGAGAGAGAGAGAGAGAGAGAGAGAGAGAGGGGGGAAGAGAAGTGGATATTTTTAACATATTCTTTTTAACTTGAACACCAAAATATTAAGAATATGTCTTAAAAAACAATTAATTAATAATTATGATTGAAATTATTAATTATGATTAGCGTTTTATAAAAAAAGTATATTTTCCACAAAAACTGAAAAGAAATTTACTTAATCACAAGACTATTTACTTGGAAATTAATAATATTTTTCGTAATGTCATATTATATAAAACTAATTATTATTTGTTAGAGATGAAGGTTGTAACTTTGCAGAAAAAAATGTGAAACAATGTTTTAAAAAATAATGTTATTTTAACATAAAAAATTTTAATGTCAAGACTGGTTTCAACAGACTGTTACTAATTCTTTCATTTATTTTCTTAATCAGAATCATACATAATTATACATTATTAAATCATACTTAATTATAGATTATTAAATAAAATTAAGAGTAAAAACCCATTTTTTAAAATAAATATATACTTATATATACTTATATGATATTATTTAACTGATTAACAGCAAGAAAAACAGTGGTGATTTTAATAATTGCGATATTCACTTTAAGTCAAGAAGTTGCTATTTTAGAGCAACTAAATTATTTGTGCTAAAGTTGCTCAAATTATTCGCGCTCTCTTTTTATCCTCGCTTCTGTATCATTTATGATGATATTACAATCTCTTCGCTTGTCATGTTTCAGTGGCACGCACGATTCAATAAGCGACACTGGTCGCTGAAAAAAGAGCTCAACCGACGACTGAGCAACCGTGAACTGCGGGCAGACATTGATGAGACACGGGTTCCGAGTGTCACCGGCAAATAACGATTATTAACGAGGGAAAAGGAGAAAAAAAAGAAAGAAGAAAGAAAAACAGCAAGGTAGTACGCAGTACGAGAAGAGAAAAAGGGGAGAGAACAAGAGAGAGAGAGAGAGAGAGAGAGAGAGAGAGAGAGAGAGAGA